TATCTGACCACTAGGGGGCTTTCAGTGAGAGCTGAAAATTATTTCCTAAGCAATCAGTCGAGCCGTTTGCAAAACAATAGCAATAACAACCTACCCACACTGTTGGTACCACAAGAGAGAAACCATTTAAAAAGTAATCTAAAGATGTCACAGGACTTAATGTTGCAGTTTTTCCCAGTGCTTCCACTTTTATACATGTTTTTTTTAATACATCAGTCTACACAGCAAAATAGGAAACGGTCTTCCAGCAGCTCAAAAACAGATTCAGGATTTTACAACATCTTAAACATAAGAGAAGTTGAATGTAGGTTTGGATCAAATTCTGTCTTTAGGTCAGACTTAAAGACAGAATTTAAAAGTGTCAGGTGACCAAAGATGGAGAAATGAAATATGAGTAAGCTTGTAAAGAAAGTTGTCATCGTGGCTCAGCTCTGAGCTTGTGAGCATTAAATAGCACGAGTCTTGAGTGATTTTCCTGTGTCCAACTCGAGTGTCAGCATGGGGTATTCGCCCTCTGAGACAGAGACGCAAGAGAAGATGAAGGAAACTGAGAGACCGGGTCGACCTGCTGGGGATTAAGGACGGGTCACAGTGGATCAGCTATGTCTTCCTCTCCCACAGAGGAGAGAAAACAAATATTAATCACCTCTAGCACTTCACACAAAGGGCCCCAAGACAAGGGCAGGAGAGCCAGTTGAGAAGACGACACGGGCCTCGACAACTAATGAAAAGACCTGTTATGGGCTTTTCTGTGGTGGGCCCATGATCTCAGGACACCTCACTGTGGAAATGTGTTTTCAGTGTTTGAAGGAAAATCTAGTTGCACTTCATTAATATGCTGTTGAACATTCATTCTTTGTGGATTTAATGTCCATCACTGTGCACAAAGTATTTATAATCCTCTGAACTTTTTTTGCATTTTGTAACTTCAGTGCGTCGAGTAGCGTGCCATGGGATGTTTAATTATTTATTCGTTTAATCTCCATGAATATATGTAGCATAAGGGTTTTTTCACACCTGAGAGTCCGGTAGATGCGATTTGATTAGGGATCAAAATTGCAACATTTGTTACATTTTCAGCTAGTGTGGTTCTCTTTCACACTGCACTGCGTCAAACCAACAAAATCCTTTGAGCAAACAGTTCCCCTCCTCGCCTGTGGTGGCGCTGCACCATAAACTACTGAAGGAAATTACATAAGAAGAAGAAGACACTGAGCACAACTTCCTTTTACACAAAATGAAACTAAAAATGTAGTGGTGTCAGATTTTACCAGTTGTAGTCTTTTTCTTTTTCCTTTGGTAAAAGAATACAAGACAGTTTTTCTGCTAGAGTTTGTTTGTTTTGATTGTATTTTCCCAGAATGCCCTGCGCTGTAGTTGGCTTCCTCCAACATCTAGGTCTATAAGTACACCATTAACTAATCAAATAAAAATGTGCACCACACTTTTCAGATTTTTGTAACAAAAATGTAAACCATGTTCATTTTCACCACAATTCTGCATCACTTTGTGTCAGCCTGTCACATACAGTAAAATCCCAGGAAAATAGATTGAGTTTTACGGTAGTAATGTGACAAAAGGAGGTAATAATCTGTACTTATTCTGTGCTGGATATCAGGACAATATTGATCCCAACAGAAAAAAGCTCTGAAGGTGACAGGAAAGACTCTGTCTCATCTTCCTCTCGCTGCAACACAAACTCGTCCGTCCTCCGTCCATGAGGCAACTCACGAGTGACAACAACAGACCCCACCTGGCAAACTGGTGGCGGTGCCATCTGGTTGCGACCAAGACTCGCCATCCGGCCCACAGTCGGTACCCGATGTGCCAGTGTGTTGTTGTTTAATGAGCGCATATGAGCAAACATTTGACTGCCAGGTGGCGTTGCAGCCACGCCACGCAGACCAGGCGGGGTTCAGCCACTGCCGTTCAAACCCGGGGCCATCAAAAGGGGGCCTTGGATTTCTAAAGTAACTAAGCCATAATCCACCCCCTTATTGGTCCCATTCATATTGAAATACATGATCAGAGGAACTGCAGAGGCCCTAATCTTGCCAATGAGCGGTCCGGCACAGCTGCAGGGATAAAGTCAGAGTATGAGACTGCCAGTATATTAGAAAAACTCAGGCCTCACTGATTGGATTAGGGGAGATGAGGGAGGGGAAGGGGTAGAAAGGGTCTCAGGGGTGAGGAAATGTCATCTTCTAGCGTTAGCTGCAGCGTGGTGGTCTCTGAGAATCAGACGCCGGGACAGACGCACTTTTGAGGTTTGTGCAATCTACAAAAGAGAAATCGGAGGGGGCGCGAGGGAGAATAGCAACAAGAGAAAGAAAAGGAAAGGCTGAGTGTGCAGCGATGGGCCTCGATAGCACCTCCCAGCCACCTAATGTGATACCACGTCTGGTATTAGCAGGGCAGTTTTTAGGAGGAAACAAACTAGAGAAAAAGAGAGAGAAAACTAAACCGGGCATTAGCTGTCGACTTAAAGGTTTGTTCTGGTTCCTCTGGTAGGAAGAGCCGCCCCGTTTAAATGCGATTGAGCGTGGCTTAGCTGGGGATCATTGGTTATCCTCTCAACTGTTTTGTTTTGAGGTTTCTTTTCTGTATTTACTGCGAAAAGTAGGAGAAGCCATTTTGTCTAACAAAGCAGGAGCCAAATATTTCCTTAGTTGTGCATCTGGCTCTAAAATGTAATTTATTCATTTAAACTGGCAAACACAAACTTCTCTGCTTATTACTGTTGCACACACAATACTGTTTTATCCTTAACACAGATTAGAAAAGAACAAACTGTCAAATCCCTTCTGTAATTTTAGAGAGCTGGTGCATCAGTCGAGGACTCCGCTCACCGAACGTTACAGGCTGTTACTGCTGAGCTCAAGTAAATCTAATAATAATTACCTTTTTCCCTGTTTTGACATATTTCTTACATCATTGACAACCACACACATATGTCTTAGAATACATTTAAAAATGATGGTTTTTATGTAAAATTTGTGTATATTTCAGCACATTTTATTTTGGAAGATAAATCACAAATTTCTTAAAAATTATGCAATAAAAAAAAATCTATTATAAGGTAAATTTAAGCATAGTGTTATGTAGAAAGGCTAGTGTGTATATTTTTATTTAAAATGTTTGATTTTAATGTTATTTTAGTTGAAGTTTGACTAGAAAAATTTAAACGTTGCAAAACAAAACAAAATACAATTCAAAGTTCTAGTTGCCCCCAAAAAATTTTAGTAACTGAAAGAAATATATATTTTATTCATATTTATTTTTCAGTTACTAAAAAAAAAGAGAAAAAAAATATACATTTATTTTTCAACTGAAAACAAAAAGTAGTAAAAAGAAGACTGTCACTATATGAAAGATTATAATTATGGCTGCAACTAGCAACTGTTTTAGTTTTTTATTTTTCTATCAATTATTCTGAGGATTAATTGATTAATCTCCAAAATGAAATTGGCATACTCCAGAAATTTTTCATTTAAAGTGTGTAAGAGTAAACTGTTGATTGTTTTTGAATTAATAAATTAATTGGATAATAAACGGTGCTTCTTTTTACAGAATTTGAATGAGGTGAACGTCTTTTGAGGAGCTTTGGATCTTTTTATTTTAAATGTAAAATGTATGTTCTTTACACAGTTTTGGTTTAATTTCTATTCTCAGTTTGTTGTTTTAGCAATTTGCCTTTTTACATTCTTTATACTCAAGTTAATTAATCAATTACTAATTTAGTTGACTATTTCAACAATTGATTTACCAAGACTAATCTGATTATTCATTTCTCTTTCTAATTTTGTTATTATCATGCCATTAATGTTGATAGTTGAATGCTTCAGACATGCACAAAACCACAGGTGGGGCATTTTTAATTAGACAATTCTAGTTTGTAGTCAACAAAGTTTTGCTGCTTCTCTTTTTAAATAAAACTGTCTCAATCTGATGATTCAGCAAAAAGGGAAAAATTATAATTTAAATAAAAGACTGCTTTAAATCTAACCTCTACAATAAACAAAGCGTTTTAGTTATTTGCATCATAACAATAAAGTTATGTGAAACATTTTACTTTTTGCAGTAGTAGTATAGTTCCATTGTTTTATTTTTTTTTTTTTAGCTGAATATTGGATAGAAAACATGAAGACATTATTGGCGTATCGTCCACACACTACTGTAACATGTTATAATTATGGAAGCTCTAATGTGCCAATATAATAAAGAGCATTTAACACATCATCTGTGAGTTATAGATAGAACAATATTTAAAACAACTTAATCTAAAATGCAATATAAATGATGAATTAATTAAAATTAATATTCATTTAGATAATAAGTAAGGCAATGAAATAATTAAAATAATTAAAAAGTGAAATATATGTGGAAACCAAATCATTAGTAAAGACTACTTATTAATTACAGATATAATCAATCCTATATTAATTTATTTTAAATTTTGAATGACAAAGCATTATACAAATAACTGCTTTATGTTTTGTGAAGCTCTTACATTTTCACAATTATAAGAATTTCATCATTCGTGTAATCCTTATTATCTAATTGGATCACATAAACAAGTTATTGTATTTTTACATTATCAGCTGCAGCTTTAATTCATAGCTTTCAGATGGGACCTCTACAGGGGTTCTGTGTATTTTTCTGTTTTTCATAATGCATGAAATTCCTGATCTGTTCTTTGTAACCAGCTGACAGAGCACCCAGTAGTTCTGGTCTGACGGGTTTTCTGGGTTGAATTCATTAGAGCCACATATGTTCGGCCTTTTAACATTTCAGAGATTTTGCTGTTTATTCCTTCCGTCTGTTGTTCATGCTAATAGACAGGCTGAGTATGCCAAACTTCATTCTGCAGCTACAGTGATCGCGGTGCGTTTGCTGACAGCTGGGTTTTTATCAGGAGGCACCTGCTGTCCCTCCTCATCTATCTGTGAGGTGGTTTTCATTTCTCTATCGGAAAGCTCCTCGCTAACGGGTCTCCTTACCGGTGAGCGGTCCCAGAGCCATCCATCTCTTTGGAACTGGAAACATCCAGGTTCACCGGTGAGTCCTCAGACATCAGCTGAGTCGCCCCTGTCTGGCTGTTGATGTCGCAGTTGTATATTCTTACAGGCTGAAATAACAGAAAGAGCACTAGTGAGTGAAAGAGTGAGTGTTGAATTTGCCCACCATGTTAACTCTGGACTAACACTTTAAAAATACACGTTGCACACAGAAGTGTAATAGCACAAGGATCAAGTCTCCAAGCAGGCATGAATGACACCATAATGGACGTTGAAGTGGATGCATTAAGTGAGCTAAATTTGTCATCTAAATAAACCAAAAACCATTTCAGGCTTAATTTAAAGTCACTTCAAGCAACATCAAACTTTCAGCAAAATCAACAAAATAAATCCTGACTGATTGCCCTCTTTGTGGTTGACTTAAAAAAATAATTGTTATCTTTGCCCCACACAGGTGTTGTGATTCACCTTTTGTCTGGCAGTTCGTTTTCTCTATGGTTTTTTGTTTTATCAACAGTCTAAAATTTACTTGAATATTTCAAACAAGCAAACATTCGTCAAGATTATTTAAACCCAATGAACTGGTCATTTTTATCAGAGCATTTTTCATACTATGAAAACAACAAAGATACAGCAAACAAGAAAAAAAGGTAGAGAGATGTGTAGGTAAGAGGAAACAATGAGTTGAAGAGTTTTTTGCAATTGTCTTTATTGTTTCGAAAGTTCAGTTGTGTCCTCTCAGGGCTTTAATGAAAAAAATAAAAATAAAAAAAATTAAAATGGAGGAGGGGGGAAGGGGAAAGGTCCTATCAGCTGGCCATCGGTTCGGTTAGGTCCTGTTCTGCTCATTTGAAGGTAGGGGGGGAAACCTGACCTGTGAAAGGCCTGAACAATAATCAGCAATACAATCATTAATTTAAATCACTTTATCGATAAACACAAATAAATTACACACATTACATAACTAAGCAAGCAGTTCAGAAACCACGAGGCTTCCAAAGCAGTATTCCTTAGGAAAACTCACTAATATTACCGCGCAGTTATATCCAAAAATGCTACTTCCGGTTAGCATGCCCGCCAAAAGATATGTCAAGAGTACTAAAATAAAATACATAATCAATTAGAAATCATAGCCGAATAAGCCAATACATTAATTTGCACAATACGCACGTACAAATGAATTATAAAGGTTTAAATTAAAATTAAATTTGAAAAACGTTTTTTCAATGGAGTTCCGCGGTGGCAGCGCCACAACAAATGATTTTAAACTAGACGAATCGAATACTGCTATAAACAGGAGAAAAAAATACAAATCTTACTGCTCAGTCAAGTGTATAGCCACATATTGTGTGATAATGGATTCTGAAGAGCGACAGATTTGAATGCCAAGTTTTCATCTGGTAGCAAAACAGACGCGAAAAAACGCCAACGCTCCCTTATCAGCTGACTTCCGCCAAGAGGTGACGACCAATCCGGGAAGGGTTTATTGATCATGTGACATTTCTTATTTTTTTCTTTTTTTTTTTTTTTCTTCTGTATTTTAGTGACGCGTAACAGCCCTTGTATTTCAACGATGCACAAAGATAACCAGTTGGGTAAGTTACTTTAAAAAGGTAATTAGTTATAGTTACTAGTTACTTTTCAGAAAAGTAAACAAGTTAGTTAGGTAGTTATAATATTGCACCATTTACCAGGAAAGTAACTATTGTGTTACTTAAAAAAAGACATGCATAAAAGCATTCAGGTTCACTATGTAATGAAACTTCACAATATGTTTAAATGTTCAATGGACACAAGCAGAAAACTCTAATTTACACTACTGAAGCATTACTTTCTACATACATACACTGATCACCTCCACAACCTACACTGGTAAAAATCATGGAATGTTGGATTCAATCCGACTTTCTTTGGATCCAGTCCAACTAATTGTGTTGATTTATGAAACCAACACAATTGGTTGTTATATGAAACTTCAGCATAGCAGACCTAAAAATGACATACAAATCATATATAATACAAAGAGGACTGACTTGTGTGCAAGAGAATTAGGAGCTCTATTCTGACTCTTTCCCTTGTTACTCACTGCTGTTGGCTGACATCATGATGATGGCTGGCTGTTCTGTAACTGGAGGTAAGGTGTGGTAAACTGGTGCAACTGGACGAAGCATGAGTCTGTCCGACTGTTGGCAGGTGTGGCTGATGTTGCAGCGGTTTTGCAGGTTTAGACAGGACACATAATTGGTTCTAAAAGGTCCAACGTGGTCATTTCAGTCCGCCCTGGTTATCATAAACTGGCATCCATAAACATATGCAGTTCTCATATAAAGACCAAAGTAGCCTGATTGGAGAACAAATGTAAATAGAAACACAAAATAAAATAGAAATAGTCTTATTTAGTTCACTTTAGCCTTACTTAGCAACACTTTAACAACTTCCATCGAATGCAAAAGTTGGTTTGCTCTCAGTTCAAATAGTTAAATATATATCTCCATTACAAAGGTAAAAATCAAAACTTTTGTCTTTTTGCTTTATACTAGGCAAGTTTATTTGTATAAATTTGCCTTACATGAGAAAAACATATCACAATATCCAATTATGTTGAAAACTGCAAACCAGTAACAAACATTACATTTTGTCAAATACCATTATAATGAAGTGAACTATGTGTAATTTGAGTTTGACTGATTATGAAGCAATATCGCAGCATTAATTATTTACAATAGTATACTCCCAGACAGATAGACACAATATCACTGTAACATACTTAAAGGAAGCAGCTGTTTTTGTTTTTCTTATTTCTTCACGTTTTGATCCACATAAAACATGTTTTGGAAAATTAAAAATCAGCGTTGACAGGTGGATGAACTCTAAGACGATCCTTCCTTGTAAACCTGACAGGCCTCGATCGTTGGCCTTGATTATCTGAATCAGACTGTTTATTCTGGAAGTTTGGCCGACAGATCCGTGAAGTTGATTCTTGGAATAATGGAGGCCACTTTAGTCTTGAAACTTTTCTTCTTCCCCAACTCTAGAACCATATAGAAACATTTTATGCCGGTCTATTGAACTCAAGACACACAACATCCATCTGTTTATGCCCATCTTGTCTTTATGCACATTTGATTCTGTTCAAGTTGTGGACTTAATGTGAGGACTAGTCTCAGGAGCCAGATGTATTGTTCAAATGTGTTGAGAGTATCTGCTATGTTGTTCAGGTAATGAAGCATTGAGCTGTGTTTATGTTTGGATGATGTTAAAAACACTGAAATGAAGTGAAGTAGATGGTTGTAGCTTCTCTAGGAGCAGCCAAACGCTCTTCGTGGATCAACAGGAAGTTCCCTTAGACTCAAGTTTTAGAGGAGATTATCTGTTTAGATTTTGGAGACATTAGCAGCTTTGAATTCTTTATGGTGCATAATATAATACTTTTCTGTTCTTTGCGATGTTTACAATAAATTACCTAAATAATAGACGACTGATGATTAAATGGCTGTGAGGAAACATTTAAAGAGTCTGTGGAAAGAAATCTTTTGAAACATTTGTTTTTTTAAGAAGATTAATGAGAAACTCTATTGTCTGAATTCCTTGTTGTCTGTTTACTCAGCCGTTAACTCTACATGACGAGAACTTTGAAGAAGCTCATTTTATCTGGAGCTACTGGGATTATTTTAATTACACACAATGACAGACTCAGTCCTTTTAAAGTTAAACCTCGGTTATGCCTCGGTTTAACAACAGGTATGGTTGAAAAATCACTGGAAACCCCCTGAGTAGTGTGAACATGTTCGGGATCTGCTGTTTCCCTAAGTAATAAGGAAATGCTTGATGGAACGATGAAAACTAAGTCCAACAGATGCTGTATGCTGGAAACTGATTTAAACTTTAGTTCATCCAAGATGTTTTCCATCTTGTTGGCTTTTTAACATTTTTGCAGGAGTTTTCAAGCTCTTTGAAACTCTTCACAGGACATCATGAACTCTTAAGTTTGTGAATTTGGAATGGTAAGATGTGGAAAAGTTTGTGCAAAATTGAAAGCTAAATTATTTTATATCTTGGTGAAGAGATGAACTCACATACTGTAACTTGCTGACATACCATTCAAGAGTTCTTCATGAAAATCTGCGCACTGTGTGTATGAATACACCGGCTGTGAGGTCACACAGCTGGACTGACACCCGCTCCACCTGACGGAGGAGTCATCTGGCCAAAGAACGGCTCCTGGGTTGGACTTCAAAAATTTATGGCTGTCTTCTTGCTCTCCTGCCTGTGTCATAAAATTTTATGATGTCTTTTCCACGGTATTTCTTAAGCACATCTTTAGCAGACAATGGAGACATAACTCAGCGGTGGTCATGATACAGTTGTAAATTATCTCAGCTTGATGGAAAACTGCTTTCAAGAGCTGATTGTCAGTGTTGTGATCTTGAGCTAATTTAAATTCCCCTGCAGGTTGGCCTGGAAGAAAACTTTAAAAGTTGTGCAAATTTCTATATTGTGAATATTTAAGTGAGGGAGAGGTGGACTAATCTGAAAAGTTTGGCCATCCCAAAAGATTCTGGGTCTTTCATGCAATACAAAGGTTTGAAACTTTAATGAGCCTCTCTGGGATGTGGGCTGGTGGTTCACAGACATCATTAGGACAGGCCAAGTGATGTAAGGACTCTCATCCTGCATTTCACCAAGTCTCAATGAAGTAACCGGCTGTAAAGTCTTGTTTTAATACTTGCAAAAGTATGAAGATAAATTGATATGAGGTAGCTGCACAATAACAAAAATCGGCATCATATAAGTGATAAAATAGATTAAAAGTCACCAGGCTTGCAGCACTGTCAAGCAGACATAAATTTATTGTTAAAAAATGCTTAAGTTTATGTTTTTATCATTGAATTTGTAGCTTACATTTAGAATTTATTGTCTTTAAATGATACAGCAAGACCACATAAAATAATTATCCAAACACATAAATGCATAAAATAGTCTGTTTGAAAATGTTTCATGGTGGACAGTTTTGGCAGCAAAGCTTCTATGAGCAAGCACAGATTTTATTTTCAGTTTTTGAGTTTAAACTCCATCATTTTCATTCAGAGAAGTCGGAAAGGTCCAAACTTGTCCTCTGAGTGAAGCTGTTGGAGGACACTAAATCCTCATTCTGTTAGTTAAAGCTCAAAGAAATTTTGTGGAAGAGAGAAAATGTCTTGGCAAAAAACAGCACCAAGATTTCCTCAGGGGAAATTATTGTTTTTAATTTAATAAATTCTTTAACTCTTAGCAGAGAAAAAAATGGGATTTTAGAGATTCAAATCAAAACAAGCAGAATGTCCAAATGAACGTAAAAGAAAGTGAATAATCTTTGAAAGAAAATCAGTTTTACACAGAATAAAACAGGATCCAGATGCAGACAGGCTAGCATTCAGCCTCAGCTGTGCTTGCACACACACGCTCACACACACACACACACACACACACACACACACACACACACACACACACACACACACACACACATGCTCTATCAATGATAATGAATTTTGAAGGAGCCGACAATATCTCAATGCTAATCAAGATGAATGGCTTCAACTGTAGCAAACCAATCAGGCTCCATTTACTGCTGTTTTAATTTCTTATCTGGGTGGCAGCGAGCCATTAAAAGCATTTATGAACAGAAACATTTGGATGAAATGTAAAAGCCTGAAGGCAGTCACATGATGAATGTTGTATGGTTGGCAGACAGGAGAGAGATTAATGATGCTGAGCTCAGAGGCGGCCAGGTTTAAACACCTTGACTGCAGATGGAAACTCTGCTACTCCTGAATTTTATTGAAATATCCATTCAGGAGCAAAAAGTTTTGTTTTCTATCAGTCATTCCAGATTATTGTTACTTTATGTGGTGTGATGTCATACAACATTTTTGCATAAATGCATTTGTTGAAATAAAATTAAACTATTACTATCTACTAAAAAGATTATACATCTCTATCTTTCTTTAATTAAAAATCATATCAGAGAAATCTGAATATAGATTATTTGGTATCCAGTGTGAGAAAAAAATTGAACAATTTAAGATCGATTTACTGCAACTAAATTATGCCAAATATTGTTCTACATTGCAGTGGCAGTTGAAACAGAAATGCAGATGTCCTTCCAGGTCATTCAGTCCGTTTCTCTCTAGGACGTCTGACCATTTGTGCAAAATTGCTCCACCTAAAGAAAGAATAGCTGTACTGCAGCTATAAGGAAAGAAAGAGATATAAAGGAGCAGGTCGAAGTTTCTCTTTCTATGTTGTTGGTTTTCAAACTCATTTTGACTCTGGAGGAGCTACAGAGATCTTCAGCTCAAATTACTGAAGCACTTTACAGATCTGGCCTTTATGGAAGTGGCAAACAGCAGACATTACATTTCAGAAAATGGGCCAGACTATCTGCATGGTGGTGGCAGTGTCATCCTATGGAATTGCTTTTCTTC